GAGACAGGCAATGTGGCGGAGGTGGAAGAAAGCGGTGCTGGTCAAGGACCGGATGTGGGGGAGGAAGGATAACTGGGGATCGAACCTAATGCCTAAGTTACGCACAGGTTCAGAGAGTTTTAAGGTCAGGTCGGGTAGGTTGAGGAGGTCGGAACCATGGGACAGACATCGGCGGGAGCCAAAGAGTATGGCTTCTGTCTTGTCGACATTTAACTGCAGGAAATTTGCACTCATCCAGCTCCTGATGTCCGACAGATAAACTGACACAACATCAGGGAACTGGGGGTCGCAGCTGGAGGGGAAGAGTAGAGTTGAGTGCCATCCACATACGTGTGGAAGTTAACCCCATGTCTGCGGAAGACATCACCGAGAAGGAGCACATAGATGAGGAAGAGAAGGGGGCCAAGGATGGATCCTTGGGTTACCCTGCAGGTGATCGGGTGGAAGTGCGAAGAAAAGCCATTTTCAGAAATGTAGTGCTGGCGGTTTGTGAGGTAGGACTCGAGCCAAGTGAGTGCGGTCCCACTGAGGTGGATGATGGCGGACAGGGGGTGGAGGAGGATGGCATGATCGACTGTATCGAATGCAGTGGGGAAGTCCAGGAGGACAAGGAGGCAGAGAGAGCCCTGGTCACAGATAGAGAGGTTATCGTTGTGGCCTTCACGAGCGCTGTCTTTGTACTGTGAGCAGTGCGGAAACCGGACTGAAGGGGTTAGAGTAGGGTGTGGAGGGAGAGGTGTGCGCGAGGAGGTGATGGGCAGTGGAGCATAGGATTTTGAAGTTATTGTTAGCCTCCAGTATGATGTTTCAATAGTGCGCAATTTTGCTTGCGACAGATAGCGGCTATAGGTATGAAGATGCTCGCGCCACAGCTGGTGGTGGACCGTGAGGCTGGTTTTCTGCTACCTGCGCTCGAGCAACCAGGTTTGGGGTTTTAGGGAGCAGGGATGGCTGTTGTACCAGGGAGAGCGGGTGGCTTTGGAGACGGTCCTGGATTTCAGGGGAACGAGGGAGTTGAAGGTGGAGGAGAGGTGATCATGAAGCAGCTTGACGGCTGCTTCAGGGTCGTTGCGGGTAGAAGGCCAGAGGAATAGAAGGTCTGAGCACGAGAGGGTTTTGTGAGAGTGTCAAGGGAAAAGGGTTGTCCCCGCACACAAGCCCCAATCCCCCCCTAATCTCTTCTAAGCCCCAAAATGTCAAAGGACAATGTGGACCTGAATCGTGGCTTCACGAGCACCCATGCAAGTAAGGTGACGGGATGTCCTCTCTGGCTGGACAAGCCTGGCCTGAGCCTAGTGAGTATGTAAACTCTGTATTTCAGTATCTCCTCTTCCTTTGTGTGAGGGCTGATCAAATTCCTCAGGTCAGAACTACTGCAACACCGATCCTAACCAACAGAGGCCTGAAGGCATAGCTGTTGCCTGGATCCCAACTATAACAGCCCCTAAAATTATGGGTGAGTTTCGGTTGTGTTCAATTTACCACAAGGCAATCTCAACAGGAGCACTTTTCCGGCAGGTGCTAACCCAAGAAGTAACTGCTAAGAACAGTTGCGAAGTCCTGTAGAGCAGTGGTTAGCCCACTCGCCTCACAAGTGAGAGAATCATAGAATTATACAGCGCAAAAGGAGGCCATTCGGCCCATCGTAGCTGTGCTGGCCTTTTAAAAGAGCTATCCAGAATAATCCCAATCCCCCACTCTCCCCATAGCCCTGCAAACTTATCTGAGAGGACCCAGCTTTGATTCCCGGGCAGGGCGAAACCTTAGTCAGCCAATTGTGCACAGCATTGTCCCGCAAACAGTCGTGGATTGAAACCAAATTGTTGTTATTTTTTTGAAGGAATTTATCACCCCTGGAAAAGCAATCAGCCAATCAACTAACAAACGGGTTCCTACTTACAATTCACTTTACAGTATATTCTGAGAAGCGTTTTGAGATGTCTCAACGACGTGATGAGGCACTATATTAAATGCAAGGATTATTATTATTAAAGGGGTTATATCAAATGTAAGAATTATGATTATTTATTAGTTGCTCTCGTTATCCCTGTATTGATGATGGATCATACCCCCTTTCAACAACTTGCACTTAAAATAACGCCTTTCACTTAGCACGAACGTCTCGAAGCACTTTCATTTAACTCCCTGCTGATTCCCAGGGCATTTGTTTTTAATTTCAGCAATCGTTTTCGTTTATACCTTTTCTTTTCAAAATAAAGGAAGCACGTCTGTCAACACCAGACTCCTGGTGCAAAACAGAAAAATAAATAAACCTTGTGACCAAAGTTGGCAGAAATTAAAATTTGCTTGTAGCTCAAAATCGACCAAATGCTAGCCCCAAAATAGCCCAAAATGATGCATTGTCTATTAATAGAATATTCTTCCTCAATTCCTCCGGCTTGCTCCCTCCCTCCCCATCTTCAGCGCACCCCCGAAGACCTTCCTCTTCGACCGTGCCTAATGTCACCTCCCCTGGTTCTGAGTTGTGCTCTGCCACTAACGCTATCCTACAGTAGGGGCAAAAGAATTGTTTTGTATGTTCACATCAAATGGCAAGTGTGAAGAGGTCCTAGACTTCTTCGCTTGAAAAATTGAAAACATCCGTTCGGCTACATCGCGCTCTTCCCCCTCCCAAGTCACCTAGCACCCCACCCAGACCATCCACACCGCCTTCTCCTTCCGAACACGGCTCCTCACACTCCTTTGCCGCCATTTCTCCCTCCTCTCTTTCAACCACATCACCTGGATGAAGTTCACCACCTGCTGCCTCGACCTACTCCCCACCGAGCTGCTGGTCACTCAACTCCCCTTCTCTCCCTCCTGCTGGCCGACACGGTGAACCAGTCTCTCTCCTGTCGCACACTACCGTCCTGTCTCCAACCTACACTTCCTTGCTAAAGTCCTGTAATGCATTGCTGCAGGTCAACTTCGGTCGCACCTCTCCCTCCACTCCCTCCTCGAGCCCCTGCAGTCTGGTTTTCGCCCTGTCCACAGCATAGAGACAGTGCATGTCAAAGTCACAAACGACATTCTCTCTGTGACCAGGGCTTCCTCTGCCTCCTCGTCCTCCTGGATCTTTCTGCCGCATTTGACACAGTCAACCACCTATCCTCCTCCATTATTGGGCCCGCACTCGCATGGTTCGAGTCCTACTTCACCAACCGCCTCCATTTCATTCTCAGCAAATGTTTTCTCCTCCCACTCCCACCCGGTCACCTGTGGGGTACCCCAGGGCTCCATCCTTAGCCCTCTTCTTTTCCTTATCTACATGCTCCCACTGGGCGATGTCATCCGCAGACACGGGGTAAACTTCCACATGTATCCCGATGACACACAAATCTACTTTTCCTCCTCCAGCACCAACTCCAGATCTGCCGATGTTCTATTAGCTTGTCTGGCAGACATCAGGGGCCTGGATGAGTTTAAACTTCCTGCAGCTAAACATGAACAAGACGGAAGCCATACTCCTTGGCTTCCGTCAACGTCTTCACTCCTGCGGATCCAAACTCCCCAACCTCCTTGGGCTCTCCTTCACACTCACCAAACCAGTGCGCAACCTAGGCATCCGGTTCGAACCCCAGCTGTCCTTCCTCCCCCACATCAGGTCCCTGATCAGAACCACCTTCTTCCACCCCCGCCCCATTGCCCGCCTCTGTCCAAACCTTACCCCAAATGCAGCTGAAACCCTTGTGCACGTGTTTGTCTCCCACTTGGATTACACCAACACAGTTCCACCATTCGAAAGATCCAGCTCACTCAGAACTCTGCCATCCAGATAATGATGTGGACCAAACTCCGTACCCACATCTCACCAGTTCTGGCCCAGGCTCCACTGGCTCCCCATCACTGAACAGATCGACTTCAAGATCCTCATACTCGTGTTCAAATCCCTTCACTCCCCGGCACCTCCCTACCTCTCCGACCTCCTCACTCCACAATCCACCACCTGGTGCCTACGCTCGACTGGCAATGGCCTCTTGCTCGACCTTCAAACCCTCTGCCCCAAGATTGGAAGTCGCACTTTCAGCCATTACGCCCCAAAATGTGGGAACACTCTCCCTCAATCCCTCCATCTTGCCCTCTCTCTCCCTTCTTTCAAGTCCCCCCTGAAAACTTTTCTCTTTGACCATCCCTACGGCCACTTCCTCGGCTTGGTTTCAGGCTCCGCCACTGTTAAGACGCTGCCCTGTGTGGTGGGTGTTATACAAGCGCAAGTTGTTAATGTTGCTGCCGTTTAAATGAATTACGTAATAATTAAGAACAAAACCGCACCAAACTTTTTTTTGAATCATAGCCCACATAATCCAACAGAAAAAAAAAACCCCGCCCAACCTGACCACATTATCCTTCGTGACAGGTCCCACACCAAATACGATGTGGTTTTTTTCCCTCTTTTTTTCCCTCTTTATCATTACTCTATTATTATTTTCTCTCAATTCAATTGACTTTACAGTTTATTCCGTGAAGCGCTTGGAGACGTCGAGAAGACGTGAAAAGCGCTAATACCCAATGCAAGGGTTATTATCATTACGGTCAACTCAACAGAACACAGGTGGGAATTGTGAATGAGAAGGTGCGGCGTGGCGGGGGCGGGCGGGGTGGGGGTGGGGGGGGGAGAGAAGAGAGAGACCAGGAGAAGGGTTGGGGGGAGAGCGAGCGAGCGAGCGAGAAAGACAGAACGTGGAGAGAGAGAAAAAAAAGAAAAAGAAAGAAAGGAAGGAGACGGATTGGGCGAAGGGAGGGATGGAGAGGGAGGGAATGGGGCAGTTTGCAGCAGAGCCTTGAGATTGGCGGACAGGAGGCTCAGTGGTGGGGGCGGTGGGGGCTGGTGATGGAGTGATGATGGAGGGAGGGGGGCGGGGGGGGGCGTGGTGGTGGGTGGGGGGGGTCGTGGTGGTGGGGGTGGGGGGGGATGGTGAGGGCCAGGAAAGGGGCGGGACCTTTTGTCGGGGCGGAACGGAATGCAAGGGGAGCCAACAGCAGGGACCGGGGGGACGGGTTAGAGGAGGGGACACACACTCACTCACCCACACACCCACACACACAGAGCAGCGCAGGTGGTGTCATGGCGCTGAGGGCGGCCGCTCGGCTGCTGTTCGGTGAGTCTCTGTTGCTCTCTCTCTCTCTCTCTCTGTTTATTATTATTATTATTTTTTTCTCTCTCTCGCGCTGTGGTTGTGAGGGGTCCGTCCGTCCGTCCGTCAAAGCTTCGACGCCTCTCCTTCTTTCCGGCGCACAAATATATATATATATACATATATATATGTAAAATATTAAATATATATATATTTATATATATGTATTTAATATTTATATATATATATTTATATATATATAAAAGAAATAAAACGGACAAGGAGTGGAGTTCCTGACCTTTAAAACACTCATTTCTTCCCTCTCTCTCTCTCTCTCTCAATCTTTCTCTCTCTCTCTCTCTTTCTGAAAACAGCCCCTTTTCTCTCTCTCTCTCTCTCTCTCCCTCTCTCTTCCCTCTCCATCTCTCTCTCTCTCTCTATCTCCATTCTAAATCATCACTTCATTATCACCTTCTCTCTCTCTCTCCGCTTGAGGTTTTGCCTTTTCTTTTCCCCCCTCTCTCTCTCTCTCTTTATTACTATTATCGCTTTATTACTATTATTCTCTCATTCCCTCTCTCCCCCTCTCTCTTGAGAATTCTTTCCATCACTTCATTATTATTATTGTTATTATTATTTTTTCTCTCTCTTTTGTTCTGCTTTGAGAATTCACCTTTTCCCTCGTTACATAAAGGGCCGCTTCTGCAGCCATTATATAAACCAAAGAGGGGAGGGAGGGAGGGAATGAGATAGGAGAGAGGTGGAGAGGATAATTATGTAAGGAGCTGTTTATGTAACCAGGTGGAATGTGCTGGAATTTTAAACTGGATCAAAAGACGTATCCTCGCACAGAGGATCATTGAGTAATAATAATAATAATATTAATCCTCGCATTTGATACAGCGCTTTTCACGTCGGGAGGACGTCCCGAAGCGCTTCGCAGAACACACTGTAAAGTGAATCGACTGTATGTTTGTGGGCGAACGCGGAAGCCAATTGCGCACAGCAATGTCCCACAAACAGTTGTAGATTGAAAATGACCAATTTATTATTGTTTTTGGTTTTGAAGGGATTATTATTTGGCTCTGTGTGGAGTAAGGAAACTTGCCCAAGGTTTCGCCCTCTGCCTGGAATTGAACTCAGGTCTCTCGCTTGCAAAGCGAGTGCTCTAACCACTGAGCTACAGGACTCCACCGATATAAGTGGCCATGTTTTATTATCTGTTCTTATATCTACAACATATTTTTATATCTGTTGTATAATCTGTAATCCGTGGAGTCCTGCAGCTCAGTGGTTAGAGCGCTCACCTCGCAAGCGAGAGACCTGGGGTTTAATTCCTAAGACAAGTTTCCTTACCCCACACGACTCCGTTCACCCGACAGTAAGTAGGAGCTCGTTTGTTAAGTCGATTGGCAGATCGCTTTTCCGGGGGTAATAATCCCTTTTTGTTTAAAAAAAACAAATTGTTTTATATAATAATTTAGTCACTTAATCCATGACTGTTTGTGCGACACTGCTGTGTGCAATTGGCTGGGTAATCTTTTGTTTATAAATTAAAATTGTTTTTGTTTGTAAATTTGTAGATTAGAAGTCTTTTGTAGAAACAATAACGTAATTTTTCAAGTAATTTGATCTTCATTTTTGCTGTCTCATATCATCCTTGTGGTTCTTCATTTCCTGATGTATCTTTTTTAGCATTTTGTTCCTGTTGCCTTCCTGAGGTGAAAAGGAGAGGCCGATTTTGTTTATTATGCAATGATATTTAGTGCCTTGAGAGTTAACACATCGCTATGCTTAAGAGAATATAAGCTATATTTAGTTCCGTGCATCCTACCTATACATGGAAATCTCAGTGATAAATTGTTGGAATGGAATGCGCACTCTCTCCCTGAAGGGATGCATCCTGCTTACCTAATTCTGGAAAGCAATACTACAACAACCTGCATTAGTATAGTGCCCTTCACGCCAAAAACTTGCCAACATTTCGTCTTGTCCGGGAACCGAACCCGGGTCGTCTCGCTTGCGTACCGAGCGCTCTAACCACTAACCTGCAGGACTCCAAAATGGGATGTTGCTAATTGGTCAATTGGCGCATCAAGTTGGCGCTTTAAAAAAAGTGACGATGCGTGCTAATTAGCACATGAAACGGGTTAGGAAAAGTTGCATTCTACCCACTCAAAGGGACTTTTGAAATCTGCTTTCTGTTGCAAGGATTAACTAGGGATTGCTTCTCTGGCTTAGTTTTCTTTACAGTAACTCTCTCATAGTTCTCATTCTGTGTAGATAATGCAACAAATAATTCCTGACTTGGCTCTTACAATGTATTTAAATCTATTAGTAATAATCCTTACGTTTAATATTACGCCTTTCATGTCGGGAGGTCGTCTCAAAGCTCTTCACAGGATTTTTGAGTTTAAGAGTAGTGACTGTATTTTGTAGGCAAACTCCTACGAAATCCACTAATTTCTTGCTCTTAAAATTTTGTTTCTTTGAGACCGTGACCGTGGAGTCCTGTAGCTCAGTGGTTAGAGCACTCGCTTTGCAAGTGAGAGACCTGAGTTCAATTCCAGGCAGAGGGCGAAACCTTGGGCAAGTTTCCTTACTCCACACAGAGCCTAATAATAATCCCTCCAAAACCAAAAACAATAATAAATTGGTCATTTTCAATCTACGACTGTTTGTGGGACATTGCTGTGCGCAATTGGCTGCCGCGTTCGCCCACAAATATACAGTCAATTCACTTTACAGTGTGTTCTGTGAAGCGCTTTGGGACGTCCTCCCGACGTGAAAAGCGCTATATCAAATGCAAGGATTATTATTATTATTATTATTATTTGCTTTCCCTGCTTGAATTGATGCCTTTGTCTGTATCCCCAGATTCTGTTTGTTTGGACTCAGGTATTGCAAGCCACCAAAAAGCACCACTAAGAATTAGAAGGGTACATTCTTTACTTGAGGCTCAATGCACATTGGAACGACCAATTGAGTGTTGTGCAGTTGGAGACATTGAATTGTAGGAAGCGCCACCGATTGAATGAGGGATTAAACTGAATTTGCTTAGGTGTGCATTTGTGTGTGTCTGTGTGTGTGTGTATTGTATATTATATAATTATAGATAAATACACACACACACACACACCTGTTGCATCAGTTGGGACTATGATATTTAATATGACTTATGTAAAGTATGAGTTATGCAACTGGAATAGATCATATTTATGATTTATGTAAAGTTATATACAAGTTGGATTTTATGACTTACACGTAACAATTACACAAATACTGTACTGGCTTTGGGGCATAAACGTAAGGTTTCTGTACTGTGTTTAACGAATGCATATTAAAACTATCTTAGACCATTCTTTCATATTCTTACATGTACTGTATCTCACGTGCAAAAAACCTGTGCTGTATATATGCTATATTTTTATGTGGCTGTGTGTTCAACTTAGTAATTATTCTTTTTTTAAAAAAATCAAGTCTTAAGTTTTAACTTCATTTTAACTAAATTAAGTGTTTACAAATTTTCTTCATTTGATCTTACACTTTTTACATTGGCCAAACGTCAGTCCCTAAACGTGGCCGTATTTCAACTGGCTGATTTGATTGTTGTTATCGGCTACGAAGTGACACTGCAGAAAGCTGCCTCTCTCAAACTGTTTACACCCACTCCTCTACCCACCCACTTCAATCAGGAGGTTCTGATAAGGCACCTTCCACATGACTCTCGTCTCCTCCACTCAACTATGCTTTCAGCCACTATGCCCCGAAACTCTGGAACTCTCTGCCTCAATACCTCATATTTATTCCCTCTTTGCCCAACATCAGATCCCATGTGAAGACTTTCCTCTTTGACTGTGCCTGCAGCCACTTCCTCTTTCTCCCTGGTTTGGCACCAACAACAACAAAATTACAATTGTATAGCGCTTTTCACATCGGGAGGATGTCCTAAGGGGCTGGACAGTCAGTGTTTTGGACCCGAGCTGGAGGTTGGGATTGGGGAAGATGGAAGGCAGTGGGGGTGGGAAAGGAGGATGATCGAAAGCACGAAGAGGAGGGTCTTGAGATGGGTCTTAAAGGAGGCAAGAGAGGGGGTGAGATGGAGGGACTGGGATGGAATTACAGAGGGTGTGAGTAGAGTGGCTGAAGGCCTGCCCGCCAATGGTGGGGTGGGCAATGCAGGGGACCTGAAGCAGGCTGGAGCAGAGGAAGCGGCCAGGTTGGTAGGGGCTTAGGATGCCGCAGAAGTAAGGGGGAACGAGTGCTTTGAAAGTGAGGACCAGGATCTTGAACTGTATCCTCTATGTGATGGGAAGCCAGTGGAGTCGAGCGAGGATGGGGGTGACGGAGCCTGGTGCGGGAGGACACGGGTTGCAGAGTTGCAGAGGCGAACTGCAGCCTATGGAGGGAGAAGTTGGGAGGCTGACAAGCAGGGAGTTTGCATAGTCAAGCCTGGATGTTATGAATGCATATATAAGGGTTTCGGCGGACTGCAGTGTGAGACAATGGCGGAGCCGGGTGATGTTGTGTACATGGGGGAAGGTAGATCGGGTCATGACACTGATGTGGGGTAGAAAGGATAGTTGAGGCTCAAACAAAATTCCAAGGTTCTGGACTGGCTTAGTAAGGTGGAGTGTGCAACCATGGATGGTGATGCTTTCAGCGCGTGAGGTGTGGAGGCACTGACGGGAGCTAATCAGGATGGCCTCGGTCTTGTTGATGTTCAACTAAAGGAAGTTGTCTCTCATCCAATACTTGTTGAGACATTCTGGACAGTGGTCAGGAAAACAGTGGTCCTGGAGTTGAGGGCGGAGGCAGAGATACAGTTGAGGGTCATTCGCATACATAAGGAAATTGACCCCTTGTCTGCGGATGATGTCATCGACATGTCATTCCAGACAGGGCGAAACCTTGGGCAAGTTTCCTTACTCCACACGCCTAATAATAATCCCTCCAAAACCAAAAACAATAATAAATTGGTCATTTTCAATCAACGACTGTTTGTGGGACATTGCTGTGCGCAATTGGCTGCCGCGTTCGCCCACAAATATACAGTCAATTCACTTTACAGTGTGTTCTGTGAAGCGCTTTGGGACGTCCTCCCGACGTGAAAAGCGCTATATCAAATGCAAGGATTATTATTATTATTATTATTATTATCGAGAGGGAGCATATAGATATTGAAGAGGAGGGGACTAGGGACAGAGCCCTGAGGAACACCACACAAGACGGTGTGGGGGCTGGAGGAGAAACCATTTGTGGACATGAAGTGGAGACGGTGTGAGAGGTACGATCTGAAACAGTTAAGGACAGAACCATGAAGGTTGAGGTGAGCGGAGAGAGGCAGTGGATGAGGATAGAGTGGTCAACGGTATCGAAAGCAGCAGAAAAGTCAAAGAGGCAAAGATATCAAGCTGTGATATTGTTAAATGCGAGGATGTTACCCCACGTTAAGGACGCTATATAAATGGAAGTTGTTATATAGTGCTATTGTTTTTTTCGGTCAAGAAATGGTAAGCAAGGCATTCATTTTGTTTCCATGTTCAGTGCATTTTGCACATGCAACAAGACAGTAGAACGAAAGTACATAAGCTTTTGCTTGTAGTCACTACACTGGATGGTAATATCTGTGAAGATATTCAGTATTTCACACACACACACACACACACACACACGAGGCAGCAATAAACAAGGACTGACATGTGCTTTGTGTATGGGAAAGCAGCCAAACAATACTGCAGGAAAGAAGGTGCTGGATAGAAAAATCCCGCCAGACACGTGGGGAGCTGTGGTAACTGGCCACAAATGAGCCGAAATGAAAGGGGACAAAGTAACTTGCGTTCAATTAAAGCTGGAAAGTAGCTTTGCAAGTGGAATTTTCCGTGCTTTGTAATCCATTTCAGTCACGGATTATAATTTATCAATTTCTAAAATCCATTAATTATGATGAAACATGGACCTCCTAAGTGAACGTGGCACTCGTTTGCTGCTGAAAACACTTCAGCCAGTATTGGGTTTTACTTGAATGAGACTGTGAGGTTTAGCTTTCACTTCCACTCCTTTGTAAATCATCTGCTGGACTTAATACTTACCTGCGTTGGGTATTATATTTACTTCAAATCTGCTTTTTTTTTCATTCACTGCAACAAAGATTGATATGTATGCTACAAAAATTGCTCCTCATCCAACTAATTGCTTCGCCCTTCCCTGGTAACTGGTCCTTGATTATCATCTGAGTAAAGAAAAACTTCTCTAAGTAAAGAAAACTCACGTCTTCTTGATCAGCTGTCTTGTTGCATCCTAAAGTATTGATTTAGCTTTACTTTTTCAATCCCCATTTAAAATTTCATGCACTCCTATGAGGTCCATTCTGAGATGTTTTTCTTGTCTAACGGTTGATCATAGGCTATAGCTCTTTTCTCCAACACTGGAGATCATTGCTGCTGTTCTCTGTACTGCCTTCGGGATGTGGGCGGATCCTGTATGTCGCAGTGACCAGTACTCGAGGTGCAATCTGACTTGATCACTGCACAGCCTGAGTATGATGTCTGGGACTCCAAACTGAAATCTGAACTGATTTAGCAGTATAGCCCAGCATCCTGTTTGCCTTATTTATTGCTGCCTCTTGGTGTGTGTGTATATGAAATACTGAATATCTTCACAGAAATTTCCATCCAGTGCAGTGACTATAAGCAAATATAGCTGATTTGTTTACACAGGGCTCTCAATCAGCCATGAATTGAATGACCAATTGATCTGAAGGATTATTAACCAGGACACTGGGAGAAACTTGAGTTCACCTAAGGAACAGGCAGACAGATCCTGGTTTGTCTGACTCGGCTTTGCTCACGCTTGGCCCAAGCCGAGTGAATGCAAATCTGACTGCATGTCTTCAGGCTTGAAGACAGGACAACAGGACAAAATGTGGAGTCCTGTTGCTCAGTGGTTAGAGCACTCGCCTTGCAAGCGAGAGGGCCTGGGTTCGATTCCCATCAGGGAGAAATGTTGGGCAAGTTTTCTTACTCATACGTTCATTTACCTAGCAGTAAGTAGGAATCCGGTTGTTAGTCGATTGGCAGATTGGTTTTCCGGGGATAATAATTCCTTCAAAAAATAATGATAATCAATTGGTCACTTCAATCCACGACTGTTTGTGGGACACTGGTGTACATTATTGGCTGCTGCGTTTTGCCCATAAAATATAGTGTCAATTCGCTTTACAATATATTCTGTGAAGCTCTTTGAGATGTCTCGAAGACGTGATAAAGCGCTATATTATTAATTATAATAACAATAATAATCCTTGCATTTGATATAGTGTTTTTCACGATGTCTCAAGGCGCTTCACCGAATAGACTGTAAAGTGAATTGACTGTATATTTGTGGGTGAAACGCGGCAGCCAATTGTGCACAGCAATGTCCCACAAACAGTCGTGGATTGAAAATGACCAATTTATTATTGTTTTTTGTTTTGTAGGATTATTATTGGGGGTGTGGAGTAAGGAAACTTGCCCAAGGTTTCGCCCTGCCTGGAATTGAACCCAGGTATCTCATTTGCAAGGCGAATGCTCTAACCACTGAGCTACAGGACTCCACATTGCGTGATTCTATTATGCAGAAATGGTGCCTATAGTAAAGTTCGTTAAAACTTTCTTATACGCCAAGTAAGGTTGTGTGATGGTGATTTACTATGAATTAATTTGGCTTTGTTTGCCCCAGGCCACAATGGAATTTGTAATATTTGGTTGTGTATTTTCATTAGCATGTAATTCTTGTGCTCAGTTTATCTTGTAAACCTTCATAAAAGTGATCATGTCTAGTGGTATATGAATAGTTACTCGGTTCCTGTTAACCCTGCAAGCCAAAGCCTAAACGGGTATGGTGGACCTAGTGGAAAAGCTTGCCAGACCGCAATATCAATGGCAAGCTATGAGATTTTAGCGAGTTAGACTCCAGCAGTACTCCCAACGCACACTCTGGGGTCCCCAAGCTTTGGTTCTTGCCAACCTGTGCCTGATACTTTCCGGAATCAGGTAAGCAGGATGTGTTCATCCAGGGAGAGAGCGCGGATTCTATTCCAACAATCTGTCTGGCATTTCCACATGTTGGTGGGATGTGTGGAAATTCTCTTAAATCATGGTGATGGATTTCTGCATGTGTCAGATACTCAGCTGCCTCAAAGAAAATATGAATAGTTACTGAATTATGAATCAATTAGACTAAAGTTGGCAGGATCTCTCCAATGTATTTAGTAAGTTTGGCTACGGTAAACTCTGTTTTGTAAAGTATATGTAAGAAGCATTTGGGGTCTCCAGATCTGCTGAGTTACTTTGCCATAGCCTCCCTGGTGGGTTAGTTGTAAGCTAAATTGTTGTGGTGGATTAACAGCAAAATGTTTCCTACACAGCTGCAAATAGCTGTTCGAGTAGATGGTGTTGTCGAGTCCAGTGGCGATGGCATTCAACTGCAGCAGTGACGAAGGGAGAGGTAGACGACATCAAAGAAAACGTTCAACTTAACAAAAGGTAAATTGGAATTAAAGGGTGAGGGAGAATTGTTTTATTATCCGTCATTAAATAGGATTTATGCCATATTGATGGAACCAGTTAGGGAGTGATGTTGGCGGCTGCACTTTCAGCTACTACGCCCCAAAACTTTGGAACAATCTCCCTTATTCCCTCCGTCTTGCTCCCTCCTTCCCTAGGTTATGCCTGAAGACCATTCTTTTTGACTGTGCTTAAGGTCACCTTCCCCCCTCCCTCCGGCTCAGTGTCATGCTCTGTCACTTTCAAGCACTCTGGGAAGCTGTCCTGCGTGAGGGACGCTATGTACATGCAAGTCGTTGTTTGTTTGAACTGTGGGCACTCGGATAGTGCCAATAGTCTCGCAAGATTCTCTCATTAAGGGATGCACCTTTTAATTACTGAACTCTATTCAAATATATTTATGTAAAACGTGCATCAGAACTCTTCTGTATTATCAACTTATATGTGCAGTTTCTAACAATGACTCAAATGGAAATGCATATTTGGATAAAGAATTCTGCCTGATATGTCATTAGTTCTTTCAGATTCTGATAGATCTGATGGGAATTTTCTAGTATTTTTGTTTTATATTTCCAGCTTCTACAATTTGATGCATCTACAATTTCCAGCATTTATATGGAGGCCTGTAGCTCAGTGGTTAGAGCACTCGCTTTGCAAGTGAGAGACCCGGGTTCGATTCCCGGCAGGGTGAAATCTTGGGCAAGTTTCCTTACTCCACACGTCTGATAATAATCCCTCAAGGGAAAAAAAATAAATAAATTGGTCACTTCAATCCACGACTGTTTGTGGGACATTGCTGTGCGCAATTGGCTGCCGCATTTCGCTCACAAATATACATTCAATTCACTTTACAGTCTATTCTGTGAAGCGCTTTGAGACGTCTAGAAGACATGAACAGTGCTATATCAAATGGAAGGATTATTATTATCATTAATTTTCTGTTCAGTCCTCTGTCTCTGGCAACCCACCTGCGTGAAGTGCCTTCACAATGCTGAAGGACCTACAGGTGTTGCTGACAGATATAGGATAAAGTAGTACAAGAGTAGAGCATTGTTGCTGGCCAGATTAAATATCCCCTACCCTAAGACACGGTGTATTCAAAGCACTAATTACTATATAGTTTGTTACATGTTTAGCCAGCAATAAGCCAGAATATAACTGCCCAAAGATTTTTGAGGGGGCAGAGGAAAAGGATTTAGTATCAACTGAAAATTTGTATAGGCTGTGTTTGCCTTCTTCTGACTTCTTTTGCATAAGCACAATATCCAACACAGTATGTGTGCAACTCCACTGATGCATTGACACCTAAGTGACTTCTCCCCAGACTTTGCTGTCTGTGTGATAGATGATTTATCCCGCACCCCCTTCACGTCTCTTTATGAGGCTGAAGACTTCTAGCTTATCAAAAAATGTTCACTTAATGCCAGTCTTTAATTTTGTCATACATTATATAAACTTTGCAAAATGTTTAGTCAGTTTTTTTTTTGTCCAGGAAACCCAAGACTGGAATCCTCATGTTGAACATGGGTGGACCTGAAACGTTAGATGACGTGCACGATTTTTTACTCCGGCTTTTCTTGGACAAAGATCTTATTCCTCTTCCTGCTCAAAGGTAAAAAAAGAGATTGCACTTGGCTCGCACGCGAGAGGATCTGGGTTGATTTTCGGGTGGGGTGAAATCTTAGACAAGTTTCCTTCCTCCACACGCCTCTGTTCACCTAGCAGTAAGTAGGAACCTGGTCGTTAGGTGATTGGCGCATCACTTTCCAGGGATAATAATTTTTGATCACTCAAGGGTGTCAGGACTTGAGTTCATGATCCAGACGGATACTTCCAATACAGTGTTGGGGGAGCACTACATTGATGGAGATTCCGTCAATTGGAAGAGATGTCAAACTGAAGTCATGTTCAGATGGGCGTTAAAGATCCAGTAACATTTTGAAAGAGAAGTTAATTTTCCACAAGTGTCCTGGCCAATAATCCTCCTTGTAACTTAGTCATTCATTCCATAGCTGTTAGTAAAACCCTGCATGTGCAAGTTGGTTGCTGGGTGTGCCGACAAATTGTCACTCCCCTTGACAGGTTCCTGTGGAGTGCGCTGAGATGTATTTCAACTTTATAAGTTTGCATCGAGTGCAAGCAAGGATTGTTATTGTGTATTATTGTTTCAGCAAACTCGCTCCTTTTATTGCAAGACGTCGTACTCCTAAGATTCAGGAACAGTACCACAGGATAGGTGGCGGATCCCCAATTAAAATGTGGACAGCCGTGCAAGGAGATGGCATGGTGAAACTGCTCGATGAATACTCCCCAGAGACAGGTATTGTGTCAGTGCCAGATAATGTTGCAATATCACTTGATCCAAATCAGGGGCGTGTTAGTAAACTTCCTTATTCATCAGTCCAGACACTCTTCAAGTCATCACTCTAAACCACACCCTCTGGCTCACTCCCAGTGTCCCTTTGAACTTCCTGCCTGCCCTTCATATTGGTCCTTTAGTTAATTGTCAATTTACTCTTAAAGGCGTATCCAACAAATGCTCTACTGACTGCCGAAAGATAGTACAGGAATCACTCAACAGTGTAAACTATTGACTTAAGAGATCTGGTGATGGGTTCCCACATGCACTAGTAGGCAAAGCTGCAGATCAGTTTTTTATATTAATTTATAGACTTTGTATGGCTCGTTCAGTCCTGTAGCGTACCCACCTCTTAAGCGAGAGGACACGGGTTCGAAACCTTAGGCAAGTTTTCCTACTCAAATCCCTTCATGCCTTGGCACCTCCCTATCTCTCCGACCTCCTTACTCCCCACCCCACCCACCTGTTGCCGCCACTCGACTGGCTTTGCCCTCTTGCATGTCGCTCGTGCCCTCTGCTCCACCACTGGTGGACGGACTTTCAGCCACTGTGCCCCAGGCATGAGGGGTGCTATATAAATGCAAGTTTTTTTTTCTATTTATCTAGCAGTAAGTAGGAACCTGATTGATAGTCAAAATAAAAATAAAATAATAATAATGTAGTCACGCAATCCACGACTGTTTATTGGATACTGCTTTGTCCCATTGGCTGCCACGTCGCCCACAAAATACACAGTAAGTCCACTTCACAATATATTCTGTAAAACGCTTTGAGATGACTCTGCAATGTGATGCATGGATTATTATTATAAATGCAAGTTATAATGAAGTACCACACACACACCCTCCCCCAAGTTGGTACTCGAGTAGTAGACAGTAACTATTTAAGAATAATGGAATGCGTCACTGAGACATTAAGCACCTTGATAAGGACCACTCTGCAGAGAAATGCACCGTAAACTACAATGTGTCTCTTCCCTTCCAATCAGTGAAAATCAGTGTCAAGTAGATTCTTGGTTTGAGCTTAATATGCTTTTAAGGGGAGTTAGTAAGGATTTCAAAACAGAACAAAAAATTTTTTTGCAGGGCAATATTGGCAATGTGTAGTGAATAAACCCACATTTGGAGTTTTTTGGGGGTTTAAAATTTTCTCTTTCTCCTGTTCCTCCCCCAGATATTTCTCAGACCTTAACTCTGCCAATATTTTCCTAATTAGATGGAATCCGCTTTATCTAAAAATGAAGGTTAATGATGGGACTGCAAGTACACAAACCCTACATGGGGCATTATGCATGTGCTAGCCGAAGACATACAAAGAATATGCGCAAAGGCAAATGAGAAGGAAACTCTTGGAACTGCTTCAGAATTACTTTTTGAAATGATTTAAGAGTAGGTGGAATGTACACCTAGATCTCGTTTAGTATTGAGCCCAAGTTAGTGGCACTCTTAGAGACTAGAGAGATCACAATTAAATTAAATCAATATTGTGACATTAGTTTATGTAGAGTTAATAATTAAAGAACATTCTGAAAATACAAGAGGTAAAATAAGAAATACTGAAACGATAATTGGGCCGAAGAGAAAATGTTAGCATGGTTTAATATCTGAATAAGTTAACAAGTGCTTCTAATTGGCCTAGCTCTAATTTTAAGATTATGAGCTCTAATTTTAAGATTGTATTAAAGGGTACTGCATAACTATGAAGAATGCTAAGTAAATGCAAATTGTTATGTTGATTACTGGAGATCCGGATTTTAGTTATTTCTGGCTGTTTCTGGTTTCTGTTGTTGATGTAAACTGGCTTTTCTGGGAACACTGCCAGATAAAAGGAGCTGATGAAGAATCTGTTGTTTGGTTCCTTTCTACCAAATTATCCATTGTGTGTTGAGTTGAAGATAGCAGCAATTGCCTTGTTTGTAATCAATGGAAGTCTGTCATTGTAACCTACAGCTATGTTCTGTAGTTTGGGTCTTTTTTTTCACAAAAAGGCTGGTGCTCTATTAATACTTTGTTTCTAGTAGATTTTTTTAATTAGTATGTTCTCCAGCGTGTTGCAAGGTCATGTTCTGACATTGCCTGTTGATGTTCTTTAGATTGAGTTTTGCAGGATAACCATTGTTTTCAATGTTTGTAGTAAAGCAACAGCATGAACAGATCGCAAGAACACCAAATTGGTTCAGATGAAGAAAGCCCTTCACTCTAAGCCGATCCCGACTCCTCCGTCCAAAGCATCCATTCTACCACTTCCCCATCAAGCTGGTTTTTCCGCAAAATACAATCAATTCACTTTACAGTATATTCTGTGAAGTGTTGAACTGTCTCAAAGATGTGATAAGGTGCCATATCAAATGCAAGGATTATTATTATTATTATAATTAATTTTAATGAGTCCAGAGTACTTGTCCAGGCCTCAATCACCCTTACTGGCAATTTGTCCCAATCGTTGGGTGAACAAAAACTTCCTGGTGTCTATCCTGAAATTGCCCTTTGTAACTCTAAACCTGTGTTCTCTTGTTCTGCTGTCTTTGTACATCCTAAAGTGCTGTTCCGGTTTACTATTTCAATCCCATTTAGCATTTTAGATACTTCTATCAGGTCCTCTCTGATACATCGTCTTAAGACCGAAAAACCCTAGCTTGTCTGATTGTTGTTAACATTTGGTTATCTCCAGACTGCGAAGAGTAAAGGGGCCAAGATGGAGCTTTGTTTGTGGAGGATGGGAAGAGGAAGTTTTAAACTCACAAGTCTGGGTGGCGCATAGATCTCAGTGACATTGCATAGTTCTGACTCGGATAGATAACCTGAAATGTAACTACTTTGTTTAAAATTCTGAGAATGGGCGAAAGGAGACACACCCTGCTTTTTCTTGTTTAAAGTTGCGACTGTAGTTGGGGGATAACCTAATACAACCGTCCAGACCAATTTGTTGTTGAATTGTTAAATAAGAGCTTATGTAAGCTTGGTTTAAACACTCTTCTCTTTCGGTTCAAAGTTGAGGGTGAATCTTACTAACAATAATATAATACTTACATTTGATATAACCTCATCACGTCGTTAAGACATCTGAAAGCTCTTCACAGAATATATTGTAGAGTGAATTGTCTGTGCATCTTGTGGGCAAAATGCGGCAGCCAATTGTGCACAGCAGTGTCTTACAAACAGTCAGTTGTGGATCGATTGACCATTTTTAAAAAATATATATTTTTTGATGGATTATTAGGTATGTTTCCTTACAGAAAGCAATCGACTAACAACCGAGTTCCTATTTACTGCTAGGTAAACAGAGGCTGAGTTTTACACCAGAGCTGAAGCGCATACTGACACAACAGTACAGTGTTTGAGAAAGTGCTTCATTGGTAGGAGGTGTTGTCTTTAGGGTGGGATGTTAAACCGAGGCCTATCTGTGTCGCCAGCTGGGTCAGGTAAGCGTTAAACAACAACAGCAAAATTACATCTATGGAGTGCCTTTCACGTCAGGACCCGAGCATGGGGGAGGGGTGTGGGGTAAGGGTGAGGGAAGGCAGAGAGGTGGGAGGGCGACTGAAGGCACGATCGAAGAAGGGGGTCTTGAGATCGGCCTTCAAGGAAGCAAGGGAGGAAGTGAGGTGAAGGGACTGTGGGATGGAGTTCCAGAGTGGGGGCAGAGAGGCTGAAAGCCCGGCCACCGATGGTACGGTGGGTTGGGTGGGTGACATGGAACAGGCCTGAACGGGCTACAGCCTGCTCCATCCAGAGCTCCAAAGATCCAGAGCTGTTATTTCAAAGAAGAGCTGCCAGTTCTTCTAGTGACTTAGTCAATTCCTACTGCCTTCCCTCTGTCCTTTGGATGAGACGTTAAAGTACCGTTGGGTCCTATTCAAGATCCCGTTGCATTATATGAAAAGAGAAGGGGCTTTTTCCCAGTGTCCTGGCCAACAATCCTCCAGGTGATAAAAAAGCTCACTTACTTCATAGCTGTTTGTGGGGCATTGCAAATTAGCAAACTCTTTTGCCTACTAAATAGTCACTCTAAACAGTAAATTTTGGTAAGTGCTTTGAGATCTCCTCCTGACATGAAAGAAGCAAAAATTATAATTATTAAAATTCACCAAAAGTATGGTTTACTCACTAATATATGATGGTCTGTGGGGTGATACGCAGAGAATAGCGGCCCCCATTTGCATATATAATGACCACTATGTGAAGCATTTTGCGGTATTTCAGCTGAATGAGAAATATATAGAACGCTATTCATAAGCTGTTTTCAAAAGCTTTGAGGGGAGTAAGGACATGAGTCACAAATGTAAGTGAGAGCAAATGCGAGAGAAGTAAGGGCACTATTTTTACCGCTAGTGTAGTGATCAGTGCGTTTGCCTCGCAAGCGAGAGGATCCAGGTTTGATTCTCGGGCGAGTGAAACCTTAGGTATGTTTCCTTACTCCACATGCCTCGGTTTACCTCGCAGTAAGTAGGAACCCAGTATTACTCGATTGGTGAATCGGGGTAATAATCCTAAAGAAAAAAAATGTGGTCACTCAATCCACGACTTTTGTGGGGGTGGGGTGGGGGGAGGAGTTAAGCAAGGTTTCCTTGGCACTTAACCTCCTCCAAGGTGATGTTCTTGGCAAAGAATGTTGTCGTCAAGTGACTCCTCTGTGGCAGTCTGAGTCTGGTGGATCCACAATACTCCAGGACACTGCTGACTGCAGCCTGGTTCATCGGCAGAACTTAGAGGAGTGCTTAGCTCCTAATGGGTAGGGTGGTCCTAGCTCGGCAAGCAAATTATGCGGTCTTAGCTAGTTAAGATCCAGCAGTAACAGACATTTTAGGGGCTCCAAGCCTTGGTTCTCACCAACCTGCGCCTTATGCTTTCGGTGAGCAGTTGTACCCCCTCCAGAGATGGAGAAAGAGAGAGTGGGTATTCCATTGCAGTCACGTAAATTTCCGTGTGTAGGTTGCAGAGATGGCAGTCTGTCGGGTTTGGGTGCTCTTAAGCATGGTGATGGGTTTCCGCATGTGTCAGACAGGCACCCAGCTGACCAAAAATACCTGTGGGATAAGTTAGCTGTGATTTTCGTAATACTATTGAAGTGCGCAGTATAAATGATTCCTGGGATAGTTAGAGACTTTTCTGGATAACAATGTGGGACATGATGAGAAATTGGCAAGAAGTGAGGATCCAAATCCTCTTTGACCTCATCTCGTTCCTAAATGCAGGATTCTAGAGTTTTACCGCCATCTAGTGGTTGTCATTAGAAAGTTTACAGAGCACTCTATATTTTTTCTATATAAAAATGATTTAAAAAATCATTGTATTTGTCATAGCGTTTTACACGTCTTCATGTGGTCTCAAAGCGCTTCACAGAATATACTGAAGTGAATTGACTGTCATTTTTTGTGGGCGAAATGTGGCAGCCAATTGCGCACAGCAGTGTCCCACAAACAGTCGTGGATTGAGTGACCAAATTATTTATTTATGTCCTTCTTTCCTTTCTTTCTTTCTTTCTTTCTTTCTTTCTTTCTTTCTTTCTTTCTTTCTTTCTTTTTTTTTTTTTTTTTTTTTTTTTTTTTTTTTTTTTTTTTTTTTCTTTCTTTCTTTCTTTCTTTCTTTCTTTCTTTCTTTCTTTCTTGCTTTCTTGCTTTCTTTCTTTCTTTCTTGCTTTCTTGCTTTCTTGCTTTCTTTCTTGCTTTCTTGCTTTCTTGCTTTCTTTCTTGCTTGCTTGCTTGCTGTGTAAGTCTTATTCGCACAGACAGCTGAGAACCATAACATTTTGGGAAAAAATACTCATTTTGAATCCTGTTTTGAGGAGAATAGTGAGGGCCCACCATTGCCGGATGAGCTTTCAGCCACTCTGCCCCCACGCTCTGGAATCTCACCCCCAGTTCCTCCACCTCGCTTCCTACCTTGCCTCCTTCAAGATCCATTTCAAGACCCTTCTCTTCGACTTTGCCTTCGATCACCCCCCACCATACCCTCCACTCTCCCCGATCTCGATCCCTAGCTCGGGTCTGAAACACAGACTGTCCAGCGCTTGGGACGTCCTCCTGACATAGAAAGTGCTATACAAATGTAATTTTATTGTTGTTTGATTCCTTTCTACCAAATTATCCATTGTGTGGTGAGTTGAAGGTAGAAGCAATTGCCTTGTTTGTAATCAATGGAAGTCCATCATTGTAACCTACAACTATGCTCTGTGATGTAGTTTTGGTCCTTTTCATATTTTTTAAAAAAGCTGGTGCTCTATTAATACTTTGTTTCTAGTAGATTTATTTAATTATACAAATGTGTAAAGAAAACACAATGACTTTGATATCTGCTGCACAGTAAGTTAGTATAAATACTTGGAACTCATAGTCTAAGCTGACAATCCATTCAGTGATGGAGGGGCTTGTTGGAGCTGCTATCCTTTGGGACATTAAAACCAAGGTCCCGTCCACCTGTTCAGGTGGATGTTAAAGATCCCGTGGCACTATTCCCCAAAAAAAGTGTTTCTCCTGTTCTCCTGACCAAAATTCCCGCAAAGAAAATTAGTCATTCACATTATGGCAATTTGTGCAACATTGCTGTGCGTAAACTGACTGCTTCGTACAAAATACATAGTCAGTATAATTTACAGTACATCCTATAAGACATGCTCCTGACTTGAAAAGTGATACACCGGATGCAAGTTTTATTAGTAAATTACAAATTCTTGATGTTAATACAGTGCCTTTTAATAATAATAATAATCCTTGCATTTGATATAGTGCCTTAACAACTGGATTCCTATTACTGCTGGGTAAGCAGAGGTGTGGAATAAGGAAACTTGCCTTAAGTTTCGCCTCATACGGGAATCCTCTGGCTTGCAAGGCGAGCGCACCAACTATTACACTAAGGGACTCCACAATGACTATGGCTTTATCTAGGAAAGTCTCAAAGTACTTTATAAAAGTAGTCAATGTGATGTAGCACATACGGATGTTGAAAAAGGTGAGTTCCTCTCAAACAGGGAAAGAAAATGCTGTCTCATCTAACTCTGGAAGTGGCTTCAATTGTTTTAAACAGTGGTAATTAGTGCATTTTAGTATTTAAAAAAANCATTTATGGGAAATGTTTGTAGTGCATGCAGGCGATAAGGAAACTAGTTGTGAAATATTTTGACGTTCTCTCCTTTAAGTTGTTGACCATTTTCCGCCCACAACATACACATTCAATTCACTTCACAGTATATCCTGTAAAGCGCTTTTAGACGTCTTGACAATGTGATGAGGCTCTATATCAAATGCAAGTATTGTTATTAGTATTATTGTTATTGACTGCTAGGTTAAAGGTGTCAACCTGCTACTACTTTCTGGCTTGGAGTTGCTGGTTACTGAGCACTCTGTCTATGACAGAAATCAATACTGAAAGGATGCTCATGATTTTTGTGCAGTGAACTCAATTTTGAGAATTTATTTTGTGTCTTCCATTCCCTCAGCACCGCACAAGTTTTACATTGGTTTCCGGTATGTGCATCCATTAACAGAAGAAGCAATAGAAGAGATGGAGAAGGATGGGATTGAGAGAGCAGTGGCTTTCACACAGTATCCGCAGTACAGCTGTTCTACCACAGGTATTGCATTTTGAATAATCTTGTAAAGTGGATTAATCTGCCAAATACAACCCAAATTTAAGTTTTTATAGCGTCTTTCATATCGGAAGAACATTCCAAGTTGCTTGACAGCCCTGGCTTGGCATACTCGAGCTTGGGAAGGGACAGGTGGCTGAAGGTACGGTCAAAGAGAGAGGTCATGAGATGGACCTTAAAAGGGGTCAAATGAAAAGCAACCAGTGAAATGTAGAAATGCTTCTGTTTTTTGTGAGTGCTGAGTTTTAAATTTGCTAAAGAGGCCAATCACTGATGAGCATTTTCTCTATTGGGGCATAGAGAACCACAGAAATTTGTGACACAGAAAAAAATCAGATATTGGTAAAAAAAAATTGTATGATTACAAAATGTACCACTTGTTAATGCTGTAACTATTGGATGCAGAAGTAGCAGCATTATATACATGCAGATAAATGGTTATTTGGATTTGATTCCGATATCTGAAGCCCAGAATCAATACAGCTTCAGTCATCAACTTGAGGATGGAGGCTTTGGCCTTCCCAATTACAAAGGATGTGCTGTACCAAGCTTCATGACCCTATCACCCCCACCCTCACATGGTTCCACTAGCTCCCCATCTCCCACATGATAGTTCAAAGTCCTTGTCTTTATCTTCAAAGCCCTCGCCTTCAAAATCCTCCACAGCCTTGCTCCTCTCTACATCTGTGACCTGCTAACTCTATTTAGACCTATCCACTCCCTCAGTGGGCCCCGGACTGCTCCATGACCCCTGCATAGTCTGCATCCCGGAGTCCCTTCATCTTGCTCCCTCCCCAGCCTTCTTCAAGCCCCTCTCAAGACCCTCTTCTTCGATCTCGCTTTCGGTCACTCTCCTACCCCTATCCTCCCTGCCCTCCAACTCTCCTGATCCCAACCTCCAGCTTGGGTCCAAATCCATGACTGTCCAGCGCTTTGGGACAACCTTTCAACATGAAAGGTACTTTACAAATGCAAGTTGTTGTTGATCCAGGGCCACAGTCTTGTGTGTGGATGGATCTTCCCAGAGCAGGAGTAATTGGGTTAAAATAATTTTGGTTTCAGTATTGAATCTTCCATTTGGACCATAGATCCTTACCTGAAGTCAGCATTTCCCTCCCCCCCCCCCCCTTTATTTCTTACTGTGGTAATATTTCTGTTGCCACTTGAGTGTAGTATCCATTTTGAGAAATCAGCTGAGATGTGGACTGCACACAGATCTTCAATCTGGTAGCGAAAATATTTAATTACTTTTTTTTCCAGCGGAAACCTGAAGAGTGGTGTATCAGTGATGGAACCTCAAAAGAGATTACCCGCAGATTGAAAAGCTGTCCGAGGTAGCACAACCTTCTTTATGATTATTGGCTTTCCTTTGCAGGAAGCAGCTTGAATGCAATTTACCGATATTATAGTGGCAGGAGGACAGCCCCGAAGATGAAATGGAGTACTATTGACAGGTGGCCAACGCATCCATTATTAATTCAGGTACTGTTGTTTTGTGGTTGCAGTAGCTTGCTTTCTCCTCGCTTTTCAGGTTTCCCCTGTGACAAGGGCTCTTTCCTCATTCCCCTCCCTCTTCACCCTCTACATGCTCCCCCTTGGTGACATCTTCCGCAGACATGGGGTAAATTTCCACATGTATGCAGATGACACCCAACTCTATCTCTCTGCTTCCAGCCTCAACTCCAGGACTACTGGGGTCCTGACTGACTGCCTGTCCGACATTAAGTCCTGGATGAGGGATAACTTTCTCCAACTGAACGTCAGCAAGACTGAAGCCCTCCTGATTGGCTCACGTCAGCGCCTCCGCACCTCGGGCGCTGGCAGCATCAGCATCCACGGCTACACACTCAACCTCACTAAGCCAGTCAGGAACCTGGGTGTCTTGTTTGACCCTGAACTGTCCTTTCTCCCCCACATACGCACGATAACCGGCACTGCCTACCACCACCTCTGCAACAGACTCCACCACTGCCTCACCCCTCAGGCTGCTGAAACCCTCACCCACACATTCGTCACATCAAGGCTCGATTATGGAAACTCCCTCCTCTCCGGCCTTCCCAATTCTTCCCTTCACAAGCTGCAGATCATCCAAAACTCTTCGATCGTGCCTTCAATCACCCTCCCACCTCTCTGCCTTCCCTCACCCCTACCCCACCTCTCCCTCATGCTCGGGTCCTGACCCCTGACTGTCCAGCGCTTTGGGACGTCCTCCTGATGTGAAAGGCGCTTTATAAATGTAATTTTGTTGTTGTTGTTAAGTACAATCTCACCATCTAAGAAACTTTGCTGCCTGATCTTTGGGAAGGTTACTGTAGTTACCAACTCCTGGGAGCCAGAAAAAATCCGATACTGTCCAGAGTTAATGCAAGAGACATTTTTGGTCTTTTAAAACCAGAGCTCGCTGCTTCCTGTTGCTTTGACCGACTCGCTGATCCAGATGTTCTTGATGTCTTTGACCAACCCCTTAGCTGAGACCTTGAGTGTGATTCCTGATGCTCTGGAATCGGGTAAGCAGAGTGCATCCCTCCGGAGAGAGAGCATTCCATTCCAGCTGGGAGCTTCCATGTGTAGGTGGCACGTGTGGAACTCTGTCTGGTTTGGATACTCTTAAGCATGTTGATGGGTGTCACACCTGGCTGATACCAAAACGTGTGAACTGAAAACTTGATGATGATGATCCTTGCATTTGGGCTGCCTTTCACTTCGGGACAATGTCTTAAAGCGCTTCATGGCACTGTAGTGACTGTATTGCATTCCTGAAACCTACAGGATTATTTGGTAGTATGTGAATTAATGCCGTGTACACTAGGGCTGCATTCATAAAACTATTCCCAAGTCGCGTAACTTTATTTGACTTTGAAGAGTATTTCTATTAACATTATACAAGAAATATCAAGGATGAGATCGAAACTTGTCCTCCCAGCTATAACTCAAACATTATAGAATCCAACTTGTTACTAAACATTACTAATATTTATGTGTGTTTCCTATTCTGGTGGATTGTACTAAATTTATCACTGAATTCGTTCTAATCTGCTTCAAAACGTATTTTTAAAATTGATTTGACTTAATAGCACCTCGTTCAATTTTTCTGTTTTAAACTGGAATGGTAATCCAGGTTTACTCTTCCCATGCCATGTTATAACTTTCACCTCTCTTCACTTGTCACCTTTCTATTCAATAGTACTGCTTTTCCTCGTAGCTTATCTAAAAATAATAATAATCCTGGCAAAAAACAAAATACTGTAGATGATAGAAACCTTAAATAAAACCACCAGCAGGTTAGGCAGCCTCTATGAAGAGAGGAAAATGAGTTAACGGTTCAGGTCGATGACCTTTTGTAAGAACTCAGTTCTTATGAAAGGTCATCGACCTGAAACTTTAATCCATTTTCCTTTCTCCATTTATAATAATTTTGCATTTGACATAGTGACTTTCACATCTGGAAGATATCCCGAACCGCTTTACAGGACTTGCTATAAAGTGGAGTGACTGTAGGTGGATGCAGCCTCGATGGGCCGAATGGCCTCCTTCTGTGTCGTAACATTCTATGAATCAATTGTATCTAGGGATTTGTTGGCCAGGGCATGAAGAGAAACTCACTTCTCTTTTCATATCGTGCCATAGGATCATTAACATCCATTTGAACAGGTAGACAGGACCTTAGTTTAACATCGCTGCTGAGCACTGCATTGGAGAGTGAGTCTAGACTGAGTACAAAGGCCTGTTGTGAGGCTTGAACCCACAACCTTCTGACTGAGGCAAGAGCGCTAGTAACTGAGACAGGCTGATTCTTCATTTGCATCTCCTTTTACATTACATTTCTTAACCCTCTAATTTTTCTTTGCTTTGGTGACGGAACTAAATGCAGTGCTCCAATGCATGATCAGTGCTCTGTAGAGCCACAACACAAGCCCTGGAGACTCTTGCTGTACTGTTGTTCTGCTTATATCCCAGCCCTATTTGTTGTATCAATCACTTCACCACATTGTTCTGACATTGAAAGTGATGAGTCTACCATCACTCCCAAGGCTCTTATTTATGGCCTCCTCTGCTAAATCAATCCCATTCATGTACACTTATCATGCACATTTGTTTTTCAAGCAAATTGCTCTCCCTGCTTTAGTGTCATCAGCAAATTAACAAGCTTACATTTGGTATAGTTAAATAGCTCATTAATATAGATTAGAAACAGACATGTCCTGACATATGAGGAATGACTGGATAAGCTAGGGCTCTTCAACCTTGAAAAGAGGGTCTCTGAGGGGCCTTAACAAGGTTTATGCAGTATAGAGGATGGAGAAAGATATGGTGAGATAGCAGGTCAGGAGGACATGGGTTCAGATGGGTTGAAGACAATTTTCAGAAGGATACCAGGAAATGCAATGGGGTAATTGACAGCTAGAATAGGAAGGCTTGTCAGGAAGATTGGTAGACGCCAATTGGTAGACGCCAGTAAACTGTACGTCATTTTATAAAAAAAAGTTGGAAGTTGGATTCTGAAAGAGATGAGGTCAAATGGGCCGACATACTATCTATCCAAACCACTCTTGTGACCATCGGGTTTCACTAAGCAACTCCTCCTACTCTGACATTATTCCATCAGCATTCTCTCTGGCTTTTATTTCCAACGAATATGCACTTTTGTAGCATCTGTTCAGTGAATCAATTTTTATGTGGGACTTCATCAAATGTCCAAGTATCAGATTTCCCACAACCTTTCAGAAAAGACTAAGCTGAGGTTTCTCGAGCAGAACCTTGCTTTCTAAACGAAGTCTGGCTTTTACTGTTTTACTCAGTGAACGGCTGAGGATATTTCTGGGCATTTCATGGAAATCCACTTACTGGTAATATTAAATTGTTTACCATATCTATCATGTAATTTGTTTTGTTTTGCCCACAAAATACAGTCAATTCACCTTACAGTATATTCCTTGAAGCGCTTTGAGACATCTCAATGATGTGATGCGGCATTATATCAAATGCAAGCATTATTATTATTTATTGTCCTTTGCCTGGCTTTCCATTCTATTATTTTCCTGGCTATCGATGTTGGATGGATGTTGCTGTATGAGGCTGAGTTAGATTTGTTCTCTTTAAATATAGGTGCACACTCCAGCAAGTCTAATGTTTGGTGTCCTTGGTGACCATAGCTATTGTCCCATAACATACATTATGCTTTTGATGACAATTTAGTGTCATCTTTAAATACTTTTCAGAATATATTAACATTTTCACTTGTCTTCTGTTATGAATTTCCCTAACAATCTGTCATAGTTTTTTTCACTTCAAACTGATATTATGCTGATCTGTTTTCATTAATTTATTTTCATTACATGTATTCATCAGTGGAGTCCCATAGTGTAAGTGGTTAGCACGCTCGCCTCGCAAGAGAGAGGACCCAGGTTCAATTCCTGGGAAGGATGAAAGTTTCGTTACTCCACACACCTCTGGTTACCTAGCAGCAAGTAGAAATCCAGTTGTTTGTCGATTGGTGAATCACTAATCACTTTCCAGGGTAATACAAACATTAATAACAACAACAACTAAATTACATTTGTATAGCACCTTTCACGTCGGGAGGTTGTCAGTTTGATCATTCAATCTATGACTGTTTGTTACACTGCTGTGTGCAATTGGCTGCCATGTATTGCCCCCAAAATACACTCAATCCACTTCATAATAATAATAATCCTTGCATTTGATATAGCGCTTTTCATGTCTTCTCGACGTCTCAAAGTGCTTCACAGCTTCACTGTAAAGTGAATTGATCGTATATTTGTGGGTGAAATGCGGCAATCTATTAATAAAGTCTTAATAAAGTCTATTAAGCAATTTGAGACATCTCAATGACATGACAAGATGCTGTGCCAAATGCAAAGATTATATAAGGATTATTATTAACTTCAACACCACTCAATCAACGGCAGAAGATACTTCTGGCCATTTTTGGAAATCCACTTCCTGGAAATATCAAGCTGTTTGTCATGTCTATCATGTAAAGTGATACTGAACTGCATTGGTGTTAATGTTTGTCCTTTTTTCGCAGTGTGTTGCAGATCATGTATGGCAAGAACTTGATCGATTTCCAGCTGAGAAAAGGGCTGACGTGGTCATTTTGTTCTCTGCGCATTCACTACCTATGTCTGTAAGTGGTGACAAACTTTGGTTAAGAAAATAATGACAGTAGGATCAATCTAAAATAAAGGAAGGACAACAAATTACATTTGCCTAGCATGTTCCATGTCGGGAGAACGTTCGAAGGTGCTGGATAGTCAGGGATTTGTACCCGAGCTGAGATTTGGAGAATCCTGATAAACCCTGCTAAACATTTTACCTGCTGAACCCCACCCTCCATCAAGTAAGAACAGACAAAATATTCCCACATTACCAGTAATGGAATAGCATTACTGCGCAGAGGAAATCTGTTTCCGTTAACAATCTTGCATGTATATCACTTCACCACCTGCTGTCTATAGAAATTATTTGGTGTGTTTGTTTTGGTCAGCCAGGTGTCTGACACATGCGGAAACCCATCACTATGCTTAAGAGTATCCAAACCAGACAGAGTTCCACTTATGTATGCCACCTTTGCTTGGAAGCTTCCCTATGTCTGGAATGAATAGAACACGTACTCTTTCCCAGGAGAGAAGTATCGTGCTTATCACATTTCAGCACAGACTGGTGATAGCCAAGGCTTGGGACCCCAGTGTATGTGTATCTTGGGGTAAATTTGGAGTTTAACCAGCTAAAACCAGATAGCTTGCCATTGGGAGCACTGTTAGGTAACACATTCCAGAGGCTGCCATTGTAAGCCTCTAAGAGTTTCCTCAACTATTAATCAGCAGGGAGGGGTCTGCCCTACACTGATGCGGAGTTAGCTTCACAGCAATCACTTCTATCCCCCAGTGCCTTCGCCTTGCTTCCTCCCTTTCCTCCTTCAAGGCCGGTCTCAAGACCTTTCTCTTTGACCGTGCCTTCAGCTCCCCTCTCAACTCTCTACCCTCTCCTCGCCCCCTCCCTTCCTTCCCCTCACCCTGACTCTTTCCCCCCTCCTCGCTCCCTCCCCTCACCCTGACCATTTCCCCCCTCCTCGCTCCCTCCCTTCCCTCCCCTCACCCTGACCATTTCCCCCCTTCTCGGGTCCTGACCCAACTGTCCAGCGCTTTGGGACGTCCTCCTGACGTGAAAGGCGCTCTATAAATGGAATCTTCTTGTTGTTGTTGTTCTATTTAGCAAAGCCTTATGATGCTGATCAAGCAATTGGTGTTGTGTATATTTGGTACATGGTATTGGTCGGACCTCTGAAACATCCAAAGCTGTCTTTTGTAAGTCCTCCCACCATGCTGTTTTTCAAATAGCTGATGGTGTTTATACTACAGATATGAGGGTGGGCCCTGGCTCACTCTTGGTTAGGATGGAATCTTTAAGGTGTAATGGGCTGGATAAGTTGGAGAGGACACCAACGGTTGTTCTTTGGCACTTTTATGGGGCAATACCCTTTACAGCATGATGTCACATAATTGGTTTAGAGTTTCTAAGATTGTATCACTTGTCATTTTTACAATGTATTGTAAAGCCTCTTTCTATATCTGGCTTGTGTGGAAAAAGCCAATCAATAAACCTGCTTGTGCTGAAAGTTGTACTGCAAATAGGATATTGCCTAAAGCAGAATTGAGATGTCTCCTTCCTATAAAAAATTAGGGAGAAATGTACGAATATTTTTCTTTTTAATTTTGACTATTGACTCTCCAATCTTGTAAATATTTGGAAGAGGACCATGTAATTGTTCATTTGTATCACGGTGCTTCATTAACTTTGAGATTTTTATAGTCTTTGTTGTGTGTTATTGGAATACTTTAGTACATTCTGGTGAATTAATTTGTTACTTAAGATGGATTTGATGTCACTCACTGGTGACCCAAATGGTATTATTCGTAAAGAACCTAGCAACAGGAGGCCATTCAGTGTGAGCCTGTTTGCCAGTTTTAGTTCATAGCAGATCTTTTAATCCCATTTCCATTTGTTTGTCTTCATATCCTTACTTTCCAAGTATCAATCTATCTTGATACCTGGGCAGAGTGAAACCTTAGGCAGGTTTCCTTATTCCACATGTCTCTGTTTACCCTCAGTAAGTAGGAACCTGGTTGTTAGTCGATTGGCGGATTGCTTTCCGAAGGTAGTAATCCCTCAAAGAAAAATTGGTGACTCAATCCACGCACTGTGGGACACTGTTGTGTGCAATTAGCTGCTACATTTCACCCACAAAATCCAGTCGCCCACTTTACAATATGTCCTTTGAAGCACTTTGAAACATCTCAACAACATGATAATATGCTATATCAGATTAAAGTATTATTATTAATAATAATATTTATAATTGTTGTCCTTAATACCCTTACTTCCTGAGTATCATTCTATCTCTTGGACATGTAATATTTTATGGCATCTGGCAAATCTGATGATATCTGCAAAATAAGAAATGTGTATATATATTTTTCCAGGTGGTGAATCGAGGAGATCCGTATCCTCAGGAAGTAGGCGCAACTGTCCAAAGAGTCATGGAAACGCTGAATTTCTGTAACCCCTACAGGCTGGTTTGGCAGTCTAAGGTAACTTCCAGTAGTATGTGCTATTTCTTACTATTCTAAGTAGCATTGAGTTAAACAGGGAAGGCATGAAGCAATCATTTTGTGTGTGTCAGCCACAGCATGCTGGAGGCAGCTAACTCAGCAGTTCTTGCACGGGACATGTGATTCAATCTTGAGGCAGAAAGGTGATCAGAGACTTTAGGTTTACTTGATCTATGTCAGGGTGGTCCAACCCTTTGGCTGCTGAGGGCCAGATGCCCTATTGGAGAAACGTCCGGGGGCTGCATAAACAATGTTTGTGTTTCACTTCTTCTAGAAACATAACATAACATTTATGTGTTATGGAGCGAGCGGATAGACCAGATGAAATGGAGAGAGGAGGATGGGCTAAGAGCTGTTGGCTGGCTGCCAGTTGTACCACCCTGTAACTGTTAATGTGAGACTTTAGTTCTTGCCCGGGTAGTTGCATCGAGCAGCATATAGACTAGGATTGGGTGGTGTAGCGAGGGAGATCAAGCAACTAAACAGAGAAGCCTGACACCAGGTTCAGTCTTGAGGCAGAAGCATGTGACGATAAAATCTTAAACAGTATCCAGTATTTGAAGTGAAGCGCACTGCTGAACATCTGCATTGCGACCAATGATGCCTAGATTCTCAAATTTTAGCTGCAAATAGAAAAGGAACATGATTTCTACATGGAGACATCTTGATGACACCAGGGAGTTGAGAGCCCAAAACATAGCCAATGAAAAATTGTGCACATCAGTGTGATGTGATTTGGAAAGATTTGGTACCTGAAGCTTAAATTTAAAGCCTATATAAATGGTGCAGAAATATTGTGCTGCTCTAGTAAGAATGCAGCACCGTAGTTTATTTTGTAATGTGTAATGTAATGTTGAAATGGCCTGGGGAAGGATGCCTATGTTAACGGTTTGTGATGCATTCTGACAATGCAGGTCGGTCCCTTGCCTTGGCTTGGCCCTTCGACAGATGACACGATTAAAGGGTTGTGTGAGCGAGGCAAGAAAAACCTACTGCTAGTGCCTATAGCTTTCACCAGTGACCACATTGAAACTCTACATGAACTTGACATTGAATACGCTCAAATCTTAGGCAACAAGGTAAGTTCCAGCAGTCTTGTTTGAGGACGTTTTCTGGATGTTTCTTTTTTGGGAGAGAAGGTTTTCTTTATTGAAAAATATGGTTACAAAGCTCACAAATCTGACAGGAATTGGAATGTTCATTTTTCCTATTATTGGGTTCGCTTTGCCATGTCTTTTAAATTGTTTTTTTAGGTAGAATTGCATTGTATGCAATGAATAAGATTGTTAGAGATAATCAATTGCATTGATGTAAAGACTGTGTCTCCAAAAATGCATCTTGCCCCAATCGCTGTATCCCACAAACAGTCATGGATTTTTGGAAGGGGTTATTACCCCGGAAAGGGATCCACCAATTGACTAACAACTGGGTTCCTACTTCCCACTAGGTCAACAGAAGTGCGTGGAGTAAAGAAATTTGCCCAAGGTTTTGCCCCACTCGGGAATCGAACGTGGGTCCTCTCGCTTGCGAGACGAGTGTTTTACCAGTATTTTCCTCCCACCTTCTCCTAAATATTCAACCACATTTATCATTTTGTGTATCATCTTATAAACAGGTGGCCGGTAACTTTTTTTTGTGTTTCAGTGCGGTGTAGAAAATATTAGGAGAGCAGAGTCACTCAATGGAAATCAACTTTTTATTAAGGTAATGTCTGCTTTGGTTTTCAATAATTTTAACCAGGTTACTACATGCCAATCATATACTGGAATTTCGTATTAATACTCGATGGCTTTTAATTCCAAGAGGTGTGCCAGGTATTGATGAATTGGGTACTAAGTTGACTTTGTTGTATTTGTATCAAGCCTTTTTTGTGGGGTGGGGGAGGAAGTGAGAAACTATTTGTATTATTTGGACTGAGATCCAGTAACCTGAATGTTGAAGTGAGAGTTGCTTCACAGTGTGAGCTTCAAGCACAAGAGTTTGCAGACTTTCCATCCTTAAGTGGAGTCCTGTATTGCAGTGGTTAGAGCACTCACCTCACAAGCGAGAGGTCCTGCGTTCGATACGATACGGTCTCGAAGACCGATAATGTGATAAGGCGTTATATCAAATGCAATATTATATTATTAAGAGCCACCAAAGTCGAGCCCTTGCATTATGACATCTTGGTCAATTTACAACACAAATCGCCGAATACAACAGAGATCAGTAACTGGTGACTTTTCTTGCTCAACCCAGGGGTACTGAGGCTGCTCTTGAATGCTAAAGAGGAAGATTAAAATATTTGGGTGGGTGGGGCGGGGGTTTAAATGGGAGAAGAGGAGAGAGTAGAAAATGCATTTGCTCTGGGCGAGAGATGCTGCTCACTCAGGATTTTTTTCTTGGAGGAAAAGCGCAGATATTTTATCAATTGATGTGATGTTTAGAGTGGGAGAAAGGTGGGGGTGGAGAGGTTTTTATGAACTTATGAATTAATTGATATTTTCTCCATTTTAGGCACTAGCAGACCTCGTAAACACTCACCTCAAATCAGCAGCAACTTCTTCCAAGCAGCTGAGTCTACGCTGCCCACTTTGTGTTAACCCTGTTTGTGGAGAGACCAAAGCCTTCTTTGCTAAGCAGAATCTGTGAAATGGCTCTTGCCATCAGTTTGTATCTCCTCCATAGGTAACGTGAGCTGACGTGATCACCAGCTTTGGTCCATTTCCAATATCTTGAGTTGACTTCTTGGTTGAGCTTGAATGCTTATATTTGCCCATTTGTCTCTGAAACTGCTATACCTTTGTTGCAACGATACTTAACATGGAAACTGCACAGTTTCCCTGTCCAAAACTCTGTTACATTTAATACTATTTGACCGCAAGGACAAGCAACTGCAGCAGACACTAGATAAAACTTGAGTCTGACTTTCTTTATTTTAAAACAAAGCCTAAATATCAACAGTGTTATCACAGCAATTAATTAAGACTTCTGTGAAGTTCATGAAAGTGAGAGCTCAGCACTGATCCCAAACTCTTGTGTAAAACTAAAGCTTAACAGTGTTATTCATGCACTACTTTTGTTACACAGCTAAGGGTTTTGTTTTTCTTCCATTATTTTTTTCATCTGACATTTTATTTAGTCAGGGAGAGTAGACTTGATATGACGTGCGTATACACGACTATTAATAAGATGTTTACTTTGACAGATACTGACACTTTTGTTTAATATGTACACAATAATAATGAATGTATTTAGGTTTAGCCACAGTGCACTGAACAAATTTAATCACTCCGCTCATGGCTCGCTAGTAGTTCTGACGCGTTTGCAGGAATTGGTGCTGGGAAAATATTAGCTATTTCCAAAAACACAAATGGGAGGGAGTCTGGCTGGGAATGAAAAGGGGAATATTTCAAAGGGAATGGAAAACTGCAGTTTCTTAAACTATTGCGGTCAATGAAGGGGTTTGACTGTGTGAAACGGTATTAAGTGCCCAAGAATTACCTGGGTGAAAGAAGACCCAAAGTCCATCCAGTTCGCCTTCCACTATCCTGGCAGTCGCTTGCTCATGTCGTGTCCCAAACTATATATTGTATCCCAAGATAATACTAATATTCCTTGCATTTGATGTAGCGCTTTTCACGTCTTCTAAACGTCTCAAAGCGCTTCACAGAATATACTGTAAAGTGAATTGACTGTATATATGTGGGTGAAACGCAGCAGAATTGCGCACAGCAGTGTCCCACAAACAGTCGTGGATTGAAGTGACCAATTTTTTTTTTTTTTCTTGAGGGATTATTATCAGGCGTGTGGAGTAAGAAAACTAGCCAAAGATTTTGCCCGGTCGGGAATTGAATCCAAGTCTCTCGCTTGTGAGGCGAGTGCTGTAACCACTGAGCTACAGGACTCCATTTCTGTTTTTTCCTTAGCTAATTTGTTCTTGAAAGACTCAACACTTTCTGTCTCAACATAATATGTAGGAGCAGGTTACCTAGGGAGCCAGTTCCATATGTTTAGTCTTATCCTCACCCTCATTTTCAAGGCCATCAATGGCCTTCCTCCCCTCCTACCTCTCTGACCTGCTGACTCCCTACCAATCTGCCCGTTCCCTCCATTCAATGGACTCCGACCTGCTCATCTCTCCGCCCGACCCGCCCTACCATCGGTGGCCGGGTTTTCAGCCTCTCTGCCCCCACACTCTGTAACTCCATCCCACGGTCCCTTTGCTTCGCTTCCTCCCTTTCCTCCTTCAAGGCCGGTCTCAAGACCCTCCTCTTCGATCGTGCCTTCAGTCGCCCTCCCACCTCTCTGCCTTCCCTCACCCCTGCCCTACTCCTCCCCCAGGCTCGGGTCCTGACCCCTGACTATCCAGACCTTGGCAGATCTTCTCGACGTGAAAGGAGCTCCATAAATGTAATTTTGTTGTTCATACTCGCTCACTGAAACAGTTTCCACAGATATGTACTGAATTTATCCCATTCAATCACAATGTCGACGAACACTCCCAAATTACTGAATTTTGCTCTTAACGTAAGGTGGTAACTTATTTTTAAGAGTTGGAAGACTTGCTTGCATTCACCATTTAAAACACAAGAGTAATGTCTGTATAATGTCCCATCAGGTTTGATCCGCTCCCTGCTTTCTATATTGGAAATATCTTCCCTCCCCCCTCCGATCCTATTGTACTCTTTTGTGTGAATATATCTGAGTGTATTTTCTCCCTCTGAGTTTATTTGTAAACAGGATAGTTAGAAGAAGAATTACAACGTGTTGACTTAGCATTGAACCTCCTATACCATTGCTGTGCCAGACAAGCTGGGTACTTCATCTCTTAACAGTAATTAGTTGTACATGTAACATAGGGCTTATGAAATGGTTGCCTCTTCCTGATCGATTTCAATAAGGGAAAAGTGTACAAATTCAGCTGTGTTGCATCTAGGAGGTGAAACTAACATTCCAGCATAGATTAGCTAGTGACCAACCTGCTTCTGTTGGTGAGACAGTTGTGTGATTTGTTTCCTGTCAATGATTCTCACTCTACTCAACAGCTCACCTGAACAAGCTTTTGTATGGACATCAGTTTTGTGAGATAGGGTGACAGCTGCTGTCTAAACAAATGCCCTGCCTCTTGCTATCTCTTCCAACCGTATCCTCTTGCCCATATGATACCGTCTGTTCTCCTCACATACACACCACACACAAACCCCGACCCACTAAATGTTCTGTTTGATTCTCTGTTGCACTACTCTGCTCACACTGGTAGCCTGACAACATCCAGGGTCCTGAAGGGTGGCAACTTGGCCAAGGGACCGGAGGTGCTTGTGGAAGCAACTCCTTCTCGAGGAGAAGCAGAAAGAAAACTTGTCAAACAGACCCACTAATGTGCGGGTGCTAAAAGTGCCTAGTGGTACATGTTTTTTTTGTTCTGTTATTCTTTGATTATAGGTACACAAATAGAAAGAAGAGCCTTTATTTGTGCCTTATCACATCAAATGTCTCAAAGTGCTTTACAGTTCTTACTGTTGATGGTAGTGACTATTTTGTAGGTAAATGTTTATGTCAATAAATCTGCTTGTGTTTTAAGATGAATTACCCATCCTGGCGTTTGCTCTCCCTGATGGACCCCATCTTGCTTACCTAATTCTGGGGAGCAGGTTAGCAAGAGCCAAGGTTTGGGAACCCCAGAGTGTGCATTTGGGTTACTACTGGAGTCTAACCAGCTAACCGCATGAGAACACTGTCTGGAAACCTCTTTGTGAATCCTTGTTTGCGTAACATTTAAAGCAGTGCAGAATTGAATGGAGAGCAGATAATTTGAGCGGTGGAGACATAGCTAAATACTAACAACGTTAATCTGGACTTCCATAGTGATAGAAACGTTTTGTCTGAAACCATTGTCTTTTAATAAGAAACCAATGAATGTAACTCTTAAAGAATAGATTGAAGATGTATCGCATTATGATACAGATTATTTTTTGTGTGATGCCGAGTGTCTGTGGAATTGAAAACAATGTATTAAATTCCAGACCTAAATACAGGAACTGTTGACAAGTATAACTCGTCTTTGTCTTATTTCATTAACTGTATAGTTCAGGGTGGTCCAACTGCCGGCCCACGGGCCGCATGTGGCCCACGAGCTGATTTCATCTGGCCCACCCGCTCCCTCCATAATGTTATGCTTCTGGAAGGAAAACACAAAATATAATAATAACACTTGCAGTTGATGTAGCGCCTTATCGCATCTTCGAGATGTCTCAAAGCACTTCACAGAATATGCTGTAAAGTGATTTGACTGTATAGTTTGTGGGCTCCCACAACTTCACAAAGAACTGAATCGAACCTTCTACTTCTGTGCTCATTGGGCTAGCTGAAGTGGTCTAGAATTTGAACTAGCAAATTTTCTTCCCACTGGGCTAGCAAATCCCGAAGCCTTAGCTGCAGAATTGATCGTGTTTAACGAGGAAACGGATAGATACCCGGTACTCAGTAATATGGAGTAAGCGTCGCAACTGCCATGGTTTAATGAAATGAGGAAGAAAACTTAATCAGCCAACTAGTTGGCTCCAGTTATTTTTATAATCAGCTAGGGAGGGATTGGAAAAGTAACTGACAGTATCTGACATGTGGAAACCCATCACCATACTTAAGAGTATTCAAATCAGCCAGAGATCCATATAAGCAGAGTGATCAAAAAGTTGTGATAACTACCCTATTATCTAAAATATATACTGTATACATCATTGTTTCTTTAAGACTTTAATTAGACATTGTAAGGGTATCACCAACTCTTTAATCATCCTGTATAAGCCACTTATATGTGGAATTTTCCCTGTATCTGAAATGGATGTGCACTCTCTCCCTGGAGGGATACATCTGTTTACCTAATTCGTGGATTGTTGGGCACAGGTTGGCAAGATTTGGGGACCCCAGAGTGTGTGTTGGGGTCACTGCTGGAGGCAGCTAACCACACAACTTGCCATTGAGAATACTGTCTGGGAAGCTTCCTATTGCTTTTCCATCCTAGCTGTTAGGGCTTTGGCTTGCAGGCTTAACAGGAGGTGAATGGGAGGAACCTCTGCTTCTGGTGACTGGTCTGTCCTTCCCCTGTGCTGCTCATGAGTGACATTGGTGTGTCAACCACAGTGCTCTGTGGACATGTTTGGCTCAGAAACCACATAAAGTGGGCTTGATTCCAATATTTTGTTGTGAAGCACATCACCTTGTAACCAGCTTGGCTATTAGGAGACCCCTTTTCCCTGCGCCCCCCCCCCCCCCCCCGAGGTTAATCAGTAATTGGGATTGCTGATGGTGGGGGGTAAACTTTGAACGAGGAAAGAATTGTTACAACATCAAGGCATCCTGAAGTGCTATTTAGTCAAGTAGAGTGACTGTTTTTGTGGGCAAATGCTGCAGGCAAAAGTCCCTACAAATGCCTACGAGGCTAATGAACTGAAGGAACTTTAATATGAAGGCACTCAACATATAATCTTGGTTTAACGTCTCATATGAAAGATGGCAGCTGTGACATTGCAGTGGAGGCTTCCCCAGGGGCTGCACTGGACTATCAGCCTCGACTACCTGTGAGGACATTGCTCTTGGCTCATTTGCCCACTGAAGGTTAGCTATGAATTGTGTCATCCTGTATTGGCGTGTTCTGTTTCATCAATCCTATATTAAATGCCATCAAAACTCTTGCACTACAAGTTCCAAATAGATCCACAAAAAATGAGTCGCACGGGTCAAATTGTAAGAATGTGGTAATCCTGCATACTTTCTGCCAGGGAGGAATAATAATAATAATCCTTTCATTTGATATAGTGCCTTAACACGTCTTATCATTGAGACTTCTCAAAGCGCTTCACAGAATGTATTGTAAAAAATGGATTGAATGTGTACTGTATTGTGTATTGACTGCTTGAAACGTGGCAGCCAATTGTGCACAGCAATGTCCCACAAACTATCCTGGAGTGAATGACCAAATTATTTTTATTATTTTTTTGATGGGCTAAGTTTAGTTGTCCTGTATTCCTCTCTTAGTCAATTTCCTCAAGTACTCCGGGATGCTGTCCAGTATGAAAGCCACTATATAAATGCAAAGTGTAGTCTTAAGAAAATCTTTTACTGTTTTACCCTCCATTAAATACCACCTATCAGATTTAAAGAGTGTATCAGGGAAAGTGCTTATTGCACTGTATTCAGCTCGTCTCTATCGAGTTACTCCTAGATTGCTTCTGTCACAGTGGCTGGTAAGTGGGGCACCAGGCTTTAATGGGTTAAACAGCAATTAGGGAGAAGTAATTAATGGAGGCTTCAGGAATAATGTACTCAAGTACATTACTGCTTATTTTGAAGGTACTTCTTTACCTTGAATAACTCCATTGCTGGAAATCTGCTCCTACGAGTAATTTTATTGCAATACGATTATACCTTTATTTATTTCCTTTTATGCCCTCTATTTGTCACGGTGGAGAGAATTAAGTCAGCTCCTTCCTAAATGTCACGTTTGCTTAAATGCGCTGTGGACTTATTTTCCTATTTTGCCATCATTGTAGCATTGCGCAGATACCAGCTGTTTTTTGTGTGAATTATGCTGTAACTTAAATGGCAACTTAAATTATAGTATTTAGACTCTGTGCTAAATTAATAATAATCCTTGCATTTGATTTAGTGCCTTAACAAGCTGTCAAGCTGTCTCAAAGCACTTAACAGGATTTACTATAACGTGTAGTGACTGTAATTTGTTTGTAAACCAGCAGCCAATTTTACGCACAGCAAAATATCCCACAACAACAACAACAACTTGGATTTATATAGCACCATCCCCCTGGGCAGCGTCTCAGAGCGCTTCACGGTAATGGATCCCGGAACCGAGCCAGGGGGAGGGGGAGGAAGGTGACCAAAGGCATGATCGAAAAGAAAGGTCTTCAGCAGAGACCTGAAAATAGGAAGAGTCGAAGGGAGTGAGGAAGGCAGTTCGAGAGCCTCAGGGCATAGTGGCTGAAGGCACGGCTGCCGATGGTGGAGAGGAGGACTCGGGAGGACAAGGAGGAGGCCAGAGCCGGAGGAACGAAGGCAACGGGCACTGTTTTAAGAAGAGAGGTCAGAGAGGTAGGGGGGTCGAGGAGTGGAGGGATTTGAAGACAAGGATTTTGAAGTTGATCCTCTCTGGGACAGGCAGCCAGTGCAGTCTGGCAAGGACTGGAGTGATCGGGGAGCGGAGTTTGATGCGGGTGAGAATGCGGGCGGCAGTGTTTTGAATGATTTGGATTTGATGGATGGTAGTGGAGGGGAGGCCGGTGAGGAGGGCGTTAGAATAGTCCAGCTGAGAGGTGACAAAGGCTTAGACATGGGTTTCAGCGGCTTTCGGAGAGAGGTATTGGTGGAGATGGGCGATGCGTTGGAGATGGAAGAAGGCAGTGCTGGTGAGGGACCGGATGTGGGGGAGGAAGGATAATTGGGGGTCGAACCTGACGCCGAGGTTGCGTACGGGTTCAGAGTTTTAAGTGGAGGTCGGGTAGGTGGAGGAGGTGAGAACCGTGAGATTTTAGACATTGACGAGAGCCAAAGAGTATGGTTTCCGTCTTGTCAACGTTTAGCTGAAGGAAGTTTCTGCTCATCAGCCCCTGAGATCTGATAGGCATGCTGACAGAACATCAGGGGACTGGGGGTCTTAAAGAGAGGTGGAAAAATAGAGTTGGGTGTCATCCGCAGACATGTGGAAATGTACCCCATGTCTGTGGATGACATCCCTAAGACGGAGCATTTAGGTCAGAAAGAGGAGAGGGCCAAGAATGGATCCTTGGGGTACCCGCAGATAACCGGGTGAGAGCCGGAGGAGAAGCCGTTTGTGCAGATGTACTGCTGGCTGTTTGTGAGGTAGGACTCGAACCGGGGCAAGTGTGGTCCCACTGAGGTGGATGACAGAGGAAAGGCGGTGGAGGAGGATGGCGTGATCGACTGTGTCGAATGCCGCGGAGAGGTCCAGAAGGACAAGGAGGCAGAGGGAGCCCTGTTCACAAATAGAGGGGATGTCGTTTGTGACTTTCACAAGCACAGTCTCTACTGTGGGCAGGGCGGAAACCGGACTGGAGGGGTTCGAAGAGGGAGTGGGAGGAGAGGTATGCGTGAAATTGAAACAAACAGCCATGTTAGAGCACTCGTTTTGCAAGCGAGAGACCTGAGTTCAATTCCAGGCAGAGGGCAAAACCTTGGGCAAGTTTCCTTACTCCACACAGAGCCTAATAATAATCCCTCCAAAACCAAAAACAATAATAAATTGGTCATTTTCAATCTACGACTGTTTGTGGGACATTGCTGTGCGCAATTGGCTGCCGCGTTCGCCCACAAATATACAGTCAATTCACTTTACAGTGTGTTCTGTGAAGCGCTTTGGGACGTCCTCCCGACGTGAAAAGCGCTACATCAAATGCAAGGATTATTATTATTATTATGAAGTGAACAAACAGCAATGAAGTGAACAACCAATTTTATTTGTGGAGTGGAATGGGGGGAGTCCCTTCGACTCGCCCTTTTCTTCGCCTCCTTCAAAGTCTACCTCAAGACTTCCTCTGTGAATTCCTGTGAAGCGTTTTGAGATATCCTTCTGCCGTGATAAGGCGCTATACCAAATGCAAGGATTATTATAAGATCTTTAATATACACCCGAATAGGCAAATAGGACCTTGGTTTAACGTCTCAGCTGAAAGAGTGCCTGTGCGACAATAACAACCACAAATTGCTTTAAACACAGCCCTTTCAATTTGTGTGTGTTTGTGTGACACTGCTGTGCGCAATTGTCTGCCATGTTTCACCCACAAAATGTACAGTCAATTCACTTTACATTATATTCTTTGAAGCTCTTTGAGACGTCTCAATGATGTTATAAAGCACTATATCAAATGCAAGGATTATTATCATTATTATTAACCCATTTGTAACTGACGAAATGTGTGCAGGACTACCAAGTTAGTAAAATTTTGCCCGTGCAACTCATTGTGGATCTATTTGGGACGTGTAACGCAGGGGGTTTTCGTGGCATGAAATGCATTTAATAG